CTGACTAGTTTGTAACAGGCCACCAGATTCCCCCTCAGCCTTCTCTTGTGGAGGCTGAACAGGTTCAGGTCCCGTAGCCTCTCCTGGTAGGGCCTGCCCTGCTGCCCCCTGACCATGCGAGTGGCCTCCTCTGGACCCTCTCCACGTTGTCCACATCCCTCTTGAAGGTAACGCCTCTTAGTCTGCTTTTCACCTTCCTTTAAACTCCACAAGAACATGATGCCATCACGAAAGAGCAGCACAAGTTCTAATGGCAGCAGACCACATAAATACTGACTTGGCTAGCAGAAAAATCAAGTACTCAGTTGCTTTTTTTTTTTTTTTTAACTTCATTCTGTTTTCAATGGTATTTTTTTCTGTGGAGAGATGTTACAGAGATGAAAGGTACAACCCTATACAGCTGGCAAAAGTCACTTTGTTTTCTCGCTTAATTTAGGTGGGTCTTGCAGAAATAGCTGTCATTTCAGCCAGGGAGGAGATGACTAGGCACAAAGGCTAGTCTTGCTATGAAGGCCTTAATGACCTTTTATCAATTTGACCCCGTTTTTGGATAGTGCTCGTAGCATCTCCAAAAGCAGAGGACATCCCAACTGTATCAGCACTGATGTTTACGTTGGAAGACTAAAAGTCGAGCCGTTAAGGTTGTCTGTGTCTATCTAGGAAAGTTAAGGACAGTCATCAGATTCTATTATTGGCTGGTAACACTTCTAGATATGCTCTTGTATTCTGGATGATCTAGGGCAGCATTTCTCAACCTGTGGGTCTCAACCCAAAAGCGGGTCTCGCAAGAATGAATATATGAAAAGGTCGCAATCAAGCTTTAAAAATGGATCAACAAACTTAAAAAATGGATTCACCTGTTTGCACCATGCAGTTCTAAATGATTTCCTGCTGTACAATGCCTATTTTCAACCAGGCATGCTATTTTTGAAAATAGAGACAGCACCAAATAATACCTGCCATTAGCTATTGGTGAATGTTATTAAGATATATCTGACTATTTTGGTGCTAACAATTTTGAGTTTATGGCATTGGTTCATATTCTGATAAAATCCTAGTATTACTTGCTACTTGTAAAGCCAAACATTCAAATGAAACATGTTCATATCATTTAAGCAATGGAAAAAGCAAAACCTACCAGGGATGCTGTGCGTATAGTAGCAAAGTGCTCTCGATTGCGGTAATGCGACTTGTGGCGGGATACTTGGGGTGGAGATTGTGGCTCTGTCGCTCTTGTTCTAGGATCCGACTCTTCTCTGTAGTTTTCTTCCTCCTTGGCAATGCAAAAGAAAAAAAAAAAAAAATAAATAAATCAGCAATAGAGGAAATATAGAGCATCTCTGTTACTCAGAGATTGTTCTTGGTCCATTTAAAGATACCCTTAACAAAATAAAAGTCGAAGTATCATCACCCTTGTAACCAACAGGCCAGCTGAAGGTATGCAACCATCAACAGGGACTATGTCCTCGGAATTTAGGATCCTCCAGAAGTGGTGCAATCACCTACCCTGGAAATCTTCAAGAGGAGGCTGGACGGTCACCTCGCTGGGGTCACTTGACCCCAGTTGTCTTCGTGCCTAGTGCAGGGGAGCTGGACCCAATTATTTTGCAAGGTCCCTGCCAGCCCTTACAATCCATAAATCTATGATCCTGAAATGTCACAGGACTATACGAAAGCAGGCCTAGAAGGGAGCTCATCTAATCCAGCCCCCTGCTCAAGGCAGGATCAGCCTCGACTAAACCATCCCAGCCAAGTGTCTGTCTCACCTGCTCTCGAAAATTTCCTGGGATGGATATTACAGTTTATAATGTTACTGTTGACAAGACAGTGATGGTTTACCAGGGCAAGAGTACGGGGGACATAAAGAGAAATAGAATATTAGGATGTTTAACAGGGCGTTTCCACCCAGCGTTCTACAATGTAGATAAAGTCTTTTCCCCAGGACAGGAAAGCTCTTTGCAACCACGCAAGATCATGAGGTTAATTTTACTTGTTACAGAGACACGCTGGAGAAAGCAAACTTTTCATTTGCAACCGCACATTCCAGATCCTCATTCTGAATCTGTGATTCATTGTGAGGCAACCGGTAATCAAGTATGTTATACGCTAACTGAGGAAAGGCACGTCTCTTTGTTCCGCATCTGATTAGAGGGGAAAAAAATAAATCAGGGCCACTCCCACCATTAGCTCTGAAAATGTTATTGGTCTGAAAAGTGTATCACAACCCCTGTGTAGTAAGAGCAGCATGGTTCAGAGACAGACTCTGTTGAGAGACGTGTGGGTCCAAGGTAAGCAGAGGAAGTGGTTTCACAGCATGCCACGCTCAGAATGCTGCATTTCTTTCCTTGTGTATCTTGGTTCATTAACTGAATATTCAGTCAAGTCGTGGGAAGCAGGGTGGGTCAGGCACAGTTCTCTATCACTGCTGTGGGTCTAGCAAGGCAGCAAAAAGGAAAAACACTTGCAGGTTTTGCCTTGTGAAACAGCCCTCTGTATGCTCCGGGCATTCACTAAACAAACCAGTTCCCGAGAGGCAAGCCTCCAACCCTGGTGGCAAAGTAAACTGCTTTGGAAACAGTTTAATTGGCACAAAAATTGCTACAAAGCCAATTCAATAAAAACATATAGGATTTGTTTTTAAAAAGTTTTGCATCAGCCTTGCAGAGAGGGCACAGGTCAGATGCATATTCATCCCCCGGCCTGATGGTTTAAAATCGGCACTTCTACACAGAGAGATGAGAAGCATGGATTTGTTCTTCTTTTAAAACTGAAACAAAACCTTTGTCCGCTACACTGTTCATGCCCACCAACCTCCTGGTCAGTAGGCAACTCCCTCCCTTTCTACCTCCTGCTAGAAAGCTAGCACTCACCGGCTTCAAGTGGATGACAGAGCTATTGGACATCACGGTGTGGTCCCCTTCCATCATATCTAGCTCGCTCTTATCATCTGAGGCATCTGGAAGACTGTTAACACTACTGCTTTGGCTACTGGCACTGATAGACATACTGGGAATAGACTGATTGCTTCCAACACTATTCACTGTTCCTGTCCTGCCGACGCCGTGGTCTTGTTCCTGGGAAGTGGGGAAGGGGAAAGGCCCAGTTACTGTTTTGACAATACAGCCATCTATCACAGTAGTGAAGTTATGGATCTTGACAAACAGCTTGTGAACACTGATCCTTAATCGAGCTACCACTGGATGAGTCACGGCAGCTTCTTACCCTTCAGGCCAGCCGATGTCAGACTTTTTGGGAAGGGGCATGCTACAAAGCTAGACTCTACTGTGAGCCAGCCCCGCTCTGCCACCAATGCCTGTTGTGACAGCAGGATGGACAGTGCACTGCTGCCCCTCTTACCCTGAACTCACTTCCCTCTCGGCGAGAGCAGTTGGGCTGACTCTTAACAGTTCAACAGGCCCCTGTTCCTGAGCTGGTAGCTGCATCATGTGCTCCAAAAATTAAGCACCCATTTTTTCAGTAACGTAAATTTGTGGCTGTTACAATTGGAAGGAAAACCTTCAAAATACACATGAGATGTGAGGCTGGTTTGCTGGCTGCCAGCAGCCTACAGTATGCCACAATCAGCCCTCGGTGAAGGTGCACCGGTACAAAACCCTCAACACCAGGATTTGCACAGGATGAAGCTGCTCACTCAAGCAGGAACACCACCCTGCAATTTTCCTGGCCTGTTGTAGGGGTTTGCCCAGTCAAAACTGCATCAGATGAAATATGGGCTAATCTCAAGCGTAGACAGGGAGGATCTTCAGGCAGCCTGAAGCACTTGCTCCAAGTGACATGAACAGCCTCCATTCATCTCAAGTTAACTCCAAAGCCTAATTTGGATCACTTGAAGGGTGGCATTGTTAACTACCCCAGTACCACAATGTGAGGTTCCCTTGAGCTCTTACCTCCTCCTCTTCCTGTGCTTCAACTGCAGGTCCATTGTGTGCCTCCTGGAAGAGGAGTTTCTTCATTTTACGATACTGTAGATTGTCCAGTTCTCTCACTGCATCCTTTGTTCTCTGAATCAAGTCTATTAACACTGTTTCAGGGCGCTCCCGAAGAACAAACATGTGCTGTAGAAGACACAAACAGGTGACTGACATTTCCTATCTCCCGTGCACGTACTCTGCGGGATGCTACCCTTATGAACTCTGGGTACGTGTCTGTTACTTTTCCTCCCTAAACAGGTACTATAATATTACCACAGGTTATGTTCTTATCTCATCAGACCTCATCAGTCCGCACTTTGATGGGTGACATCCATGTTGCAGGAAGTGGTATTTGCGAGTAGGACTTGGGCAGAGTAGGCAAGAGGGTTTAAAAAAAAAAAAATCGAACATGAGTTATTAAGTCCTGTCTCTGCTGGGTGCCAGTACCTATAAAAACACCTCAGACGGTCACAGACAAACAAAGGGAAGCCACAAAATAGCTTGTATGGCTGTAAAGATGTTAAACCTTGCCTCTGCTGGGTGCTGACTGATGGTTAAAATCTTGTAAGCTATCTTTTTTAAACAGCCTTTCTCCGAGTCTAGACAAGGCCTAACTCAGCACATGACTTTCTGATGTAACATAAAAGAGGTCTTGAGCACTTCCAGCTCCCTTACTTCTGGTTCTGGAACTGCTGCCCCACTATGTCCTTACTGTAAGAAGCAATCCCTGCACCATAGGCACGTGTATTTGCTGGTAGCCTATCTGTGTGTCTGAAGGTGCCCTAGTGGCCTGTAGGACAGCATGCTACATAAGTATGAATCATCAGCAACACAGGCATCAGCTTTATTTTCTGCCTCTGGAAGGTAGCACTCAAATTTCCAATAATTGTCACATTCCTCTCATAACCCCGTTAGCTGGCTTACAGCTGCTGGATAGGACAGGTATGTTCATAAAACCCATGAAATATTTCATTTTCACCCTGCTTCTTTCTACTTGCAGTGCACTGCCAAAAATAAACCCAAGCCACAGAATTCCGCAAACCCTTCAGTGGAGAATTGTGCTTACTTCTGGAATGGAAAAATCCTCACCCGTGTAAATAAGGAAAAACATCCTGATCATTTAGGGGTTAAAACATACAAAATCCATGCTGGCAGCACTTGTGTGGTGATAGTACAAGGTTTGGGAACATCGGTATTGAATACCAAACCACCACCATCACTGATGATTGCCTTAGCTTTTGCACGGAAAATGAAAAACAAACCAGGACCAAAATCAAGTGCCACTCTGCCCCACAAAGTCACATTTGTGTAAAGCAGCATCAATACCTACTCACAGAGCTTCCCATAAATATATTCCCTTAGGCGTGTTTCAGCTCTTTGCAACCGTTTAAGCACACTCACTACATTCCAGCACCAGAGCAAATGCAGTATTGGCAGCATATGGGAGAGGGAGGAAGGAAGAACGGCTAGGCTATGTGGCAGGAGGAGCTTGGCAAATAAGTGACACGCAGCCAAGTCAAGGAAAGGAGCATGGGAGAGGGAAATTAGTTCTCCTCCCCCTTGTCTTGCCACGGATCACAGCAGAGTGGTATCTTTCCATTCTATGTAGAGAGCACAGAGGTGTTGGGAGAGCATAAAAACCCTGCAGGGGTAAATAAAGCGCAGGATAAAGAGAAGTAAAGAAAGGAACTTTAATAACTAATGCATGACGGCTCTGTCAGGATTAATCATAGCAGCCGAAGGGGAGATAGATGGAGCGGCAGAAACCAAGGCTCTCTGGGAGCGGATGGTCATCTTGCGCTGTTGCTAGTCACCGTGAAGATGTTGCTGGGCCGGGGAATCATCTGGCTAAGTGCATGGGAGGCTAAGAACGAGCACCTAGGCTAGAAGCGCTGACAAGGAGAGCACAGCGCACACTCTGCTAGCCGCTGGGTACTGGGGTAGCAGACGGAGCATTGCTTAAGCTTAGAGGAGAGCAGCAGATGAGCAAAGGACATGCTGAAGAGCATCAGACTCCACATAACCTCGCCTGTTCAACACCAAAGGGAAAAGAGAGAACAAGAAAGCCAACCTTCAGGAGCTCCTCTGATGTAGGTCTGTCTTGAGGGATTTTTTGGAGGCAAGAATCTACGAAGTTTCGAAAATAATCAGACCTATTGCAAGAGGGAAACACATCATCTGAAGGAACTGTCCATTGTGGTCCACTGCCTTGTCAAGGAACCAAGATATTTGCATCTGTGAGCATGCAGAACCACCCGCAACCCAATCCTTCACACAACAGCCCCCAATGTACCTACATCCAACCAGATCCCACCGCTTCCACGTAGACTATTTAATGTCAGCTGTCAAACTGGTTCAGATTAAGAATGCACCTACATGGAGCAATTCGGGAGTGGAGGAAGCTTTGTGCAGCATGTAACTCCCCATACAACCCTTGATGCCACACCAAAGTGTAAAATTCATACTATAAAAACACCAGTTTTGAGGAGTGATTTTGCTCAGCTGTGGCCCTGGGCTGGGCTCCACCCGGGGTGCCGCTCACTCCCATCCTCCCCACTCTTCATTAACATCTCATACTGAAAATGTATCAGACTCATCTTCCAAAATTTCCAGGGTTCTTCACAGCGTGGGGGAATTTTTCATACGCACATATATCTTTCTGGAAGGGAAACTTCTACATTTTCCTTCCCCACCATTTGAAGGTGTGGATTTTTAGAGACTCTGCTATCAAGCTAATATTATAGGACTTATGTGGATTTTCTTTCTTTCTTCCCTCTTTACCAAAGCGTGTGTGTGTGTGGAGGGGGTATTTTTCTTCTTCCACTTAATTTTTTTTAGCCAATTAATTCTAATTGGTAGGAAAGCACATAACACAAGCTGAATTTTTTGTGCAAACTTGGCACACATAAACCTAATCGGAACATCTCTGAAGCTGAAACAGTTTTAAAAAAGCATAGTGCACTGTACTGCAATCAGTGCATCCAGGCCGTGGCTTAGCATACATACAACAAGTATTACCAAGTTTTTAACTTTAATGTGGACTTAATCTCTCACTGCTGTTTCAAAAAGACATTCTTCAAGGCAAGGAGGCACAAAACGTGACTATTTAATAGGCTTGCAAAGTCTGTGTAACAAAGACACTTACCACGCTATCAGTGTCTTTGTTTTAAAAGCCAACAGTTCAACAAACCAACATTGGGATTTTGCAAATCTGGTCTTTTCAGTTTTTGGTCTTGTTTTGTTTTTTAAGAAACTGATTTGCTGCAGGCTTGTGGGTTTCCAACATTTACTGATGCACAACTTGAACATATTATGGAATTTTGTGTTCATACGACAGGTTTCTTTGGTTTCTGGAACTGTGGTGTTGCAGACTCCAAAACGCCAGCTTAGTCAATGGTCAATTTTGTGCACATAAGATGTACAGTGCACCTATTGCAACAGCCAGCTCACAGCTTCCCAACAGAAATCCAGCCATTTCAAGAACTCAGCATGACAAAGCACTCCATTTACAGCAATGCCCTACAACATTCCTCTCTCAGTAGTACTCACCATTCATTAGACTGTAGTGTAGGGGATTCATTCTGCGCTATGTGATATAAGGCACTCATTGCGTTCATATTAAACAAAGGAGGCTTCCTTTCCGCTACACACAAAAAGAAAATAATTTTTATATAGGGAAACAGTCTCACAGCTTTTCCTTTCTTTATTCCTTTACCTCCCTTAAGGGAAGAATCAAAAAAAAGGGCATCACGGCAGAATCGCTACTGCCCAGATGTGGAGCCCCAAGCCAGCAAGAACCCTGCAGTCAGATGTGCTGGCACGTGCTCCTACAGCAGCGGTTTTCCCACTGCAGAGGATGAAAGCTCTCTAAGATCAAATGCTTCATCTCGTCAAACTTTCAGACTCTGTGGGCTGCCATCGTGGAGCTCTCGGAGCGCACTCTGAAGGACCCAAACAGGAGTATAGCAACAGTGAGGTCCAGACTCAGCATACCCCTGCTAAATGAACTTGGCTATGGTTTTTATTATAATTACTCAAGCCGAAGGGTTCTCCCATTGCAGTAGCATGGCAGCGACAGGAAAGGCAGCTGATCATAAAGCCACCACAGCCACGATTAACTGACTGGCTGCATATGCAAGGTGTCAGTAAGGGGCTGACTCTGCTATTCTGAGTAGGATTCTCTCTGAACTCCCCCCCCATCCAAGTGCATTACTCTGGCTGGAAGTTTAAGGAGTAAGGAGGTTATCCCACACAAGCAGCAGCACTGAAGGTTCATCAGACTGTTTAAAGGGTAAACCTACAAAACCAAAGCCCTCTAAAAACAGCCAGAAGGAATACAAAAGCATTTATGCTCAAGGGAAGGACAATCTCTGCACAGCAGTCAGTTTTGACTGTCAGGTTCTTCTGGGCTACTGCTGCTGTGATCCAAGCACCTTCTCATTCTTCTTTCCCCCTACCTTCTCTGCAGTAAGGTTTAAGATGGCTATTAAAGGAAACCCTGTTACCCCTACTCCAGGACAGGTTAAAAGCAGCCCCAGGCCCCATGAATTTGCCTGAATTGTGAAGGCAGGGGCTGGCTAAGCCCTAGCATAGATGTAGGGAACCACCTCCCCTCACCTGCCAGACCATGGTGTGCTCCTGGTCAGAACAGAGGTTACTTTATTCATTAAGAAGTGGTCTCTCCACTCCAGTTTATTCACTTTAAGTTACCAAAGTAAAATATCAAGAATCGAGGAATTGCTCAAATCTCTCTGTCAAATAAAGCTCAATGAGAGTTGGAGAGTACAATTAGACTTTTCATTCTTCTGCCTCTTTTCCTTGGTTATTTAAACCAACACAAATAAGATAACCATAGAAATTCTGCCAAAAGTGGGAACCAGCCCATAATGCTCAATTTGTTGGCTCCAAGTCTCACCCCCCACCAGGCCCAAAGCCACATAACAAAAGGCTAATGCTTCATCCTGCAAACAAGCAGCATGCAACAAGGCACAACGGGGGTGTGGTCACCATGAGCTAACTGCATTCCTAGGGCACTAGATCCAGCCAAATCTCTTCAGTCCACTCCGAGCATGATTATGTCATGATAGCCACACCTCTTAAACTTGCTTTATATTGGCAACAACAACCCTGAGTCTGAAGAAAGCGGCTGTTTTATGGTGCTGGAAGAAAATGAAGCTGACAGTTTGGAATGCCAGACGGCATGTTTAGCTGAACGGTGCAGTTCACACGGATTAGCGTACTCCCGAGAAGGCTAACCGGCCGACCAGAATGCTCCGTCAATCAACGAAGTTGGAGAATGCAGCGATGAGACCCAACAAGGCTGTTAGTACAGCCCCTGATGCGTTGGGAAGCAGCAACATCACCACCCTGGAGGGTATTCATGTCTAAGGGCTTTTAAAGGTTGGCTTTTTACAGGAAATTCCAAACTGGGCTTTATTTTTGCAATGTGCTTCATTGAGGATATTTCTGTACCATGTAAGTGTTACATGGAAATGGCCACACACCCCTGACTCTTTCCAGCAGACATGCTACTGCAAGGAGCCTGTTCCAGCTGCAGTGCTGGGATTTCTTTCCTGGGGGAAGGAGTTAATAATTCCAGGCTGGATTATTCCAAATCTTGCTTAGGACACCTTCCAGCCAAGTCTAGTCACGAGTGATAACATCCCCGGCGTTAGCTACGAAGCTGCTTGTTCAGCTCAAGCTCCATTAACAGGTAGGATGCTGCAAGGAACCTTTACTCTTTGTGCCGAACTCAATGTCAACGTTTTGCTTTTCACTTTTAAATCCCATCTGTGGCCTTGGTACTTCTAATGGTTTATTTCCAAGGTTTCTCTGTACGGACCAGGCTTTTCAATTCAAGGTTGACTCCCACTGCACAGAGAACCCCTTAACACTAGAACTGCTGCTGTTTTTCTTGTCCAGGTAAATCTCTTCCAATTCAATGAACGCCAACATGGAAATTTAATCTCAACTACTGCGAGAACTGCCAGACGCTGCAGCCTAAAGATTCCGTCCCGAAGAAACGGGGACAGGGAAGTGCATGCAGGTTTCTTGCCTGGCAAACACAGGTAAGTAAACTCTAGGTATGAGCAATTCCAACTTACAGAATGAAGCTTAAACATCCCCCCTAGCAGAAATTAAATGTCTTCTACATGTGCCACAAGCTGTACATAAAGGAGTCTGTCTAGTGCTAAGAAAAACAGCTTACCTAACTCAATACATGTTATTCCAAGAGACCAAACATCTACTTTGCCATCATACTGCCCTTCATCCATGGCTAAAATTACTTCTGGGGCCATCCTAAAACAGAAAAGAGATTCTCATAAACTTCTGTGCATTTGTAATAATGCTTTAATAAACATTTCACTGTCATGGACCATTTCAGAAACCAAGGTGAATGGCTGCAATGGGAAGAAGTCCTGAATAGGACACATAGGTTTGGATCCTAACTGGGTATACGGCAGAATACAACATAGCTGGTTAAGCGCCACCGACAGCCTCTTGGGCACCATACAGAAGCCGCTCGTGCCCTGTGCCCAGCTCTTCCCATTTGTTACACTGAATTAGCCTTACTGCCTCCTGTCCCACCCACATCGCCAACAGTCTAGCTGGCTGCTAACCAACTCCAGCCACGTTAACTGCAGCACGCAGTTGTGTCAACACTGCGGTGGGAGGGAAGGAGATTAAAACCCTGCGAGATACCTGCAAAGATTTTTGTGCAATGAATCTGCCCTTTCATATGAAAAGAAAAGCATGTTAGGTACCTGAAGAGCCAGATGCTTCGAGCCGCTGAACTTCCTTTCCTTTAAAAGATAAACAGACTAAAGCTTCGCTGACTCGGGTGGTATTTTGGGGGACTTTATTTTATCCTCACCCCAGTTACCAAGTGGATCCAAATAAAGCCTGATCACATTACATATAAAGCTGAAACTACGTAAAGACTTTCCTTACCAATATGGCGTCCCCACAAATGAATTGGCAGGAGAGGCTATGGAAGCAGATCCAAAATCGGCAAGCTTCACCTGGCCTGGCTCCGTCAGTAGGATGTTTCCTGCCTTGATATCTCTGGTCATGGAAAACAAATGTTAACATTACACCCCTGAGAAAAGGAAAGTGTCTGTAGAACAGTTACAATGAAGTGGGTCTTCAGTCACAGATGGAAGTTACAGTCACGCTGGCCCTCATATACAGGCTTTAATCATGAAGTTAACTGTATGCCCAATACCAGAATTTAGTTTGATACCTGAAAACCTCTAAATGTCAGGGACTTCCAAACGAACCCTTGGAATAATTATTTACACACCATAAATACAATCCATCACAACCTCTGGAATTAGCTACACTTCCTTTCTAAACATTATTTGGAGAGCTTTATCCCTCACCTACCCCATATTCCCAAAGACATTTATTCATCTAAAACTAATTTTTAAATTTAGTACCGGTTTCCCTGCACGGGGAAAAAAATACCACGTAAACTTCAAGCCAAAGCCGCTGCAAGCTCTTCAGGCAATCTACATGCTTAGATAGCTTTGGGTTTTTTCTGCTTTAAGGGTTGATCCACCACCACTGATTTTTAACATATCAAGCAGGCAAAAGCCTGTTGGCATCAAGGGGCTGCTACAGAAATCATGGACAGCAGATGTAAGAGATGTTACGTAAGGGGATACAAACGCTCTGCTTACAAACATGAAGTGCCATTTCCATCACCAAAGTGATCAGGATGCAGTCAGCAAGATAAATTACCTGCAAGGGCGTGACAGTACGGCTGTGAGCACTCACCTATGGATCATGTTGTGAGAATGCAAGTATGCTAGTCCTTGGAGAGCACCATGGGTAATTGCTGCTATTTCCACTTCTTGCAATGGCTTTTTATGAACTACAGGGAAAATCATATTTAAAATTCAGTACTACGGAAAACAATGGTATTGACAACATGCAACAAACACAATCGAATACTCAAATGCAGACTTAGAAAACAGTAAGCTACAAGGTCCGAGAGCCACGTGAGAAGCCAAAACAATTTCTAAAATGTTTATAGTGCATTCCTCACTGGGCAATCAGATGTAGTCCTCCGACTATAATCCTGTAGCTACCCATTCTGCCAAAAAGCCCTCTCCGCTGGCTTTGAATTAAATTCCTGAAAGCATTGGTAGGTAGATCCTCCCAAATAGTTACTGGAGATTGAACACTTTCTTTACCGCTAATGAACCAAAATCATAAATACTGCAAACTCCTGGGCATTCATTAAGAGCTACAAAAAACAGTAGCAAAACAAGTGCAGAGGAAGCCATAGGACAGGGGCAGGCAGTTATTTTGGACAGAGGACCGCTTACTGAGTTTTGGCAAGCCATTGAGGGCCGCATGACAGGCAGCCCACAGCAGATTAATATTAAATTTTCTAAACTTCTTAGGGGCCCCGCAGGCCAGACAGAATGGCCTGGAGGGCCGCATCCGGCCCCCGGGCCGCATTCTGCCCATCCCTGCCGTAACTGCTTCTGGATGCAGGGTGAAGAACCTTCTGGCCCACAATACACTTCTGATGAAAGCACTTAAACAGCTTGATGGGAAACGAGAGTAACTAATGAAAGTCCTAAGGGAGCAAGTTATCTGTACTGCGATGGCAGATGAGAAAACCTATGCTTGATAAAAGCAAGTGGATTAAGCCCTGGAGGTGCGTAAGTGAAGAATCCCAAATTCAATGAATATGAACAGTTGGCTGAAGTCTTATTCTAAGGTAGAACCAGAAGACTGGAACTGTGTGGACAAAAGCTAATGCAACAGGGGCAACGACTGCAGCCACAGACTTGTAAGCCAGTGCAGCTTTTCATTCCTTCCCAAAAGCATTAAACTGAAGAGTCCAGAACAACTTTGTGACCTGCAATCTGCTATTTATGACTTCCAAGCAAAGAAATGTTTGAGACATACCTTCTAGTAAGTCTGATGCTGATCCTAAACAATATTCCATAACAAGCTGTGTGAGGGGAAAAAATGAAATAAACTATTAGATACCACTGGAAGACAAACAGTTGACAGTGCAGCTTTCATTTAGCATGCAAGCATCTTCTACCAGGAGCTTGTCCTGCAATTCAGTCAAAACCACCACCGTCCTAATCATCTCACAAGCTTTTAAAATAAATATTTGAAGAAAATATATGCAGAAAAAAAATGCTTGGATCCAAAACGCAGGTTTTGAAAAAACAAATGCTTGCATATTTTCTTTCTGTTTAAATTCCAATCGTGCTTAGATATATTGTGCATCTATAATAAGGAAAGGAAGGAAAAGGGGATTTATATATTGTTTATGATGGAAGAGGCAAGGTTACTATCCAGTGAGATAAACTATCAAGACAGCAGAGGAAGAGTGTTAAGACTGAAGCCTGTTCCACACAAGGAACTTTTGCTGGTACAGCAATGTTGGCTATGGAAGCAATTCCCTCCCCTCAAGATATTTTTATAGCACAAAATGAACTGGTCTAGGTCACTTATAGTGACATAAAAGTGTTTCTGCTGGAATAAATGTTTCCTATACTAACAAGATTTGCCAGTGACAATCCCTGCCTAGTGTAGACTAACCCTACCAGGAGAATACGAGTTTTCAGATCCATTCTTGCTATAATCCAGCATTGTTCCCAACCTACAGCCCTATTCTGCCCCCTACTCACACTGCATGCTACCTCTCTACCAGATCATCTCCCACTGAAGTCAGCAGAGCTGCTAATAAGATAACTGATCAATAACAAAGTCACATTCATAGCCAAATATATTTTCTATTATCATCTTATATTGCACTTAAATATTTACCAGGAATACTGAACAACATTTAGCTGATTTACCAAAGCATTTAAGGGATATTTAACCATTTATTTGTACAGTATTTATTGTTATAATTAAGTTTCTAAAAAAATATCCTTTTAATGACACACAGCATTACTAATGTTGATTTAGGAATGCTGTCTGCAAGTTAATATAGTTTAATACATAAAATATGGTGATTAAACTATTATAAAATGGTACTATGCAATTTTATCTTTGAAAGCCACGTGACATTAGATTCTTAGTGCAGCCTCTTTATTTATCTAAAAAATGCATAAGCAATGAGAAATTTAAAATCAACAAAGTTTTTTTGTTTCTTTTTAATTTTGTGTATACACATTCCCCTATGCTGTTTCTAACCCAAATTTTGTAACACCGTTACACTGTTTCTAACCCAAATGTTGTAACAGCAACATATAAAAGCTAAAAAGGGAACTGGCCAGGCAGTTTTAGGTCATCCAAATGCTGTAAAAATGAAAAGGCAAAACAAATGAAGAACACTGGGTGGAAAAGTAAGTCAGACTGCTGAAAAGGGAAGAATTTAAAAGACGGACCGTGATGAAACATTGCCTGCGGATTCTTTAAAATATAATTGCATAATCTGACTATTCTACTACAAGGCAATTAACCACTTGCATATGAAATGCTCTCTGAAAAAAACTGTAAAAGACAAGTAACAGCTCAAAACACACACATACAATTGTCATACTTGTTTCCGGCGTAGGGAAAATTAGATAAATGCATTTTGCCTCTTCCAAAGGGAGAATGAAGAGGCCAAGTACTTGTTTTTTATCCAGCAGTGAAAGGAGCTGGGGACAATAACACCACACACTCCTGCACAAAGGAAGCAGAACATTTTCAGGATCTCTGGATCTCCCAGGCCAGCAGCGTCCATTCAGCCTTGCTGCGTACTGCTAAGGGTCCCAGGCTGGATGCATCCGCCTCTGTATGATGCAAATGCTCAGGTGCCTCCCCAAAGCCAGCTGGAGATTTTTATTTTTATTTCACTCACCCTCGACTGAAACAAGAGAAGTGCAGAGAGGAGAGCAGATGCTTACCCATGCTGTATGCTCCCGCAAATAGCAGCCTTTGTATTCTATACTGTTAGGATGTTTTATTCTTTGTAGGAACTTGACTTCCTTAATAATATCCTGCCATTTCTGCAGAAAAGAAAAGGAATAGGAAGAAACTTTACAAAACTCTTTAAAGAAAAGAAAAAAAAAGAAAAAAAAAAAGAAAGTGACCTAGCACAGACAAAACAGAGGGGGGAAACGGCATCCTCCTCAGAATTCTCAATCCCTGAATTCAAGCAAGGGTTTCATTCATACCAGGAGTCAGCATTTCTCTGTCTCTCAACAGGAGGTTGCAAACTTCAGTTACCTTGCAAATGGAAGCGTAAGGGCTTTGACGTCCCATTTGACATATGGGACACACAGATCTGACAGATCCTGGAGATCCCACACTCCATATTCAAAGAAAAACAATCAGGCTCACCCTTCTGGGGACCCAGTTTTCATAGTCATATCACACAGAGATCCCAACAGGAGGAGGTCAGGCTGAGTACCATGCCTTTCTTACAATCCTAGACAATGAGGGCTGGAAGGGACCTCAGGAGGTTGCATCTAGTCCAACCCCCTGCTCCAAGCAGGACCAGCCCCAACTACGTCATCCCAGCCAAGGCTTTGTCTACCTGGGTCCAAGGATGGAGACTCCACCACCTCTCTGGGAACCTGGTCCAGTGCTTCACCACCCTGCTAGTGAGAAAGTTTTTCCTAACATCCAACCTCACCTTCCCTTGCTGCGACTTGAGCCCATTGCTCCTTGTTCTGTCATCTGCCCCCGCTGAGAACAGTCCAGCTCCATCCTCTTTGCAACCCCCCTGCAGGGAAGTGAAATCCCCTCTCCGGCACTCTTACCTGATTCACACCCAGCCTGGGAGGTTTAGGACCTGGCCCTGCTGCTATGTACGTGACTTCTAAACCACCTGAACTTGCCTCTCACCAAGTGTTTGACTATGTTCCTGATAGCATTTCTCTTGTATTCACTTCAATCTCTGAAAGCGCCTTACCTACTGATAAGTGACCCGCTTGCAGTGAGTTAAAGAGAAAACAAATCACAAACAGTTCATTTCTGCTACATCTAGGACAATATATTTTTAAAGAGATGCTGCAAATGTAAAGAGTGACCCTTCTATGTAGACACTGTGAACTTACTATTTCTGAAGGTAACACCCCACACATGGCTGTAACTTTAAGACTGGGGAGGGGGAAGTGGGGGGAGAAATCAGTTTTCCACTTTGTGATTTAATAGCACTTTGTACATAGTTTCACGGTTTTCCCCAGAGTTCGTCACCCATCCCTTCTGTTTGTTCCGCATGCACATGGCCTCAGGGTGAGAAAAGCATAAAAAAAAAAGGAAAATGTGATGGTAAAAGTAACATTATTGGCAAGGACTCTCAAAGGCAAGCAGAGTACCTGAAACTATTGAACTAACTCCATTTTCAGATGAGTGTGTGCCACTTAGGCTGACGCTGAACAAAGTCTCAAAAAACTGTACGCAGCCCTTGCATCTAATTAGGAGCTGCAATCTTCAGAAGACAGTTGCTATACTGGTCAGCCTCTCAAGACCTGTGCCTTTTCTAAACGCCGTGCAAAACAAGCACATCCATGCTGCCTACTTTACAAAGCCTCAGTCTACCAGGGTACAGCCACAGAAAATGTAAGTTTGAAGAGAGTTCTTTAAATGTGAATGGAGAGACAATCTACAACATCAGACAAAAACATTTCTCAAGCCACAAAAAGCATCCCTTTATTGACACGGCGACTCTAGAACTGTTAACACCTTGTACCAGCAGTATCATTTCCCCATCACCTACGCACAGAGTTGTCCAGCTGGCAGCCTGCATTCATGCAAAGTCCAAATTGCAAAGGAAAACTCAAGAGGTCTAATCACAGGCACCTTCACATTGCACTTAGAGATCAAAGGTGACCTGGAAAGGGATAAAAGAAGAAAAAAAGGGCCCATGTGTACTGCTTTGCTCTGACATGAGCATAGCTTGAATACTTGACCAAAAACAGCTTTCTTCTCTGCTTGCTTTGTACGTCTGCAGTTCAGATCCTGAAGGCCTTGCGGTGACAAGGGCATTCAGATATGAGAGCCAGGGGAACTATAAAACGTGGATTTTACAGGAGAGCAAAACCTGAACAACTGAGAGGACAGGCTCATTTTCAAGCGGGCTGATTAAAATGTGTTTCCTTAGCTTACATTAAACACTCACTTATAACACTAATGTTAACACTCAGTTATGAGCTCAGGTCTCTTCATAGACAACTGGACCCCAACAAATTCTTTAGGATAACAGGAAAGACCAGACTTGATATTATCAGGATCATAAGGTATAAAAACAGTAGGAAAAAAGAAAGCCTATCAGTGTTCAGCCTGTCCTCTCTGAACATGATAAAGGAATCAGCTCCCAGCTCTTAAAAAAATATTGTGCAGGAGACCTCACTGCTTGCCTCACTTGCTGGCTTTCAAGTATTGAAACTTTATGACTCAGAGAAGCTGTGGCTAATAGTTAAGTCCATTTTTTAGCTTCAAGGTTTTTCAGCATTTCCAAGGGATCCAACTGTGCCATCAACTCAAGCCTACAGGTCTCTACTTGATTGCCTTCGGTAAGCTCAGTCCAAACCCTTCCGACTGTGTCCCCATAGACTGACCTTAGGTCTCCTTTACACAGATGCCACAATCTTCCTTCCTTTCAAACCTATCACCAGGTGCTCAGTTACTGGGTCAATACTTCTAGAGGTGCTAAAACCCAAATCAGTCAAGGCAGGTTGCAATGACCTACCCAGGAAAGTTGGTGCAGCTATCCTAATTATCAGCCTATACGTGGGGTTGTATTGCTACAAACACGTTGGTTTTAAGTTCAATCGGTCATATATAGAAAAAACCTGAGACCAACTTATGAGCACAGAACCATGTTTCCAAAGGTGTCTCGCTTTATTTTTTAAATAAAAAATGCTCCCCGTCTAGATGGTCACTGCGTCCCAACCAATGCCAAAACCCCACTATAAAGTGAGGCAGACATAAGTGACAATGAACTGCCCCAAAGAGATTTACATTATAGAGGCTAGATCACCACCCAAACAAATTTTCCTCTTCAAAAGATATAGGGAAGCAGAAAGAAAAGCGTGTTAAATACCATCTGATTTTTTTCTTCAGAATAAAGGCCAACACCCATTGAAGACAATCAGAAGCTATCTGCGAGGCATGCATAGTTCATTCATGTGAACAAAATATTTATAGATCACAGTAATTAAAATGGTAGGACAAGAAGTGGGTACAAATTATACCTTCATCAGTATACAATTAAACAAGTTACTGCGGCAATGAGAGACATACAGAAGGTTTAGCTCTGGAACTAGGATTTGGGGCTGGGGAGGAGAAAGAGGTATCAGAAATCCCTCAGGAACCAAACACATTCTCTAATTCTTCAAAGCAGAGGTGGCCAAAACAGGTCCAGTGATCATGGAAATCAAGAGTTAGGAACTATTAGGTCAGCTCGCCTATCTGCCAGGGCAGGACAGCACGTAAAACCTTTCAGAGTGCAGCAAAGGGAGAAAAATGCTTAAAAAATGCCTCAGACTGGTAGCTCCCAGCCCTTCAGTCTTCATGGGTATTCTCTCATCCTTATCGCCAAACTTTTAACTGCTTCCTCTTCTTCCCCCCACCAGTTTGTCAGAGATGCATGGGCAAAAGCTACAGCCACTTACCGTGCCCGACCACAGTTTGGGACCCCACTGCCTCAGACAGTATTCAATTTGAAGACATGCATTAGCACTTAGAAGCACTTTGAGTCTCAAACTAACGATCTCTGTTAATGTTTTGGGGAAAAAATGTCTGGGGTGGACATTAAAATATTTAATGTTCACATCTCAGAGACCTGCTCTTCAAAGTCTGTTTCACGCCCCATCTCAGAAAATGTTCCCATCATGATCTTGATTTATAATAGCTTCACCACCTCCACCACCAAGTTTCCCAAAACACAACCAACCGTTCAGACAGTTTAGGAAAGGGAGGCTCACTCCCCTTCTTTCAATTTTACAAGCTGGCCTTGCTCCTGAGCCCATGCCACTACTGGATTCATTGCTATCATTCCTGGCAAACCTCTGTCCCTAGCACGGAGCAGGGATTTTTTTTTTTTAATGGAATTTAGAATGGAACGTTTCAGCCTAGAACGGAAGCTTGGCTATTAAGTCAAAATGCTATAGGCCTGGGTACCAACTATTTTCACTTTATCATTTTCTTTATGTATTCAAGGTCCCAAAAGAGATGGCTCTTCCTATCTGAATGCAATGAGTCGTGCTTAACATTGCCAGGAGCAGACTAGGCAGAAGTATGGACAAAACACTGAAAGAAACATGTTCTTGTTTACACGGTACCACAATTCACCTGCATTGATTGGCACAGATTCTCTCTGGTACTGCCCAGATGAGATCAAGTCATCAGACATAACGAGTACTTGCAGCAGTCTGGGTTTAATTGCACATACCTCATTGGATTGCTTCCCACTATAGGACATTTTCTTGATGGCCACCACTTCGTTGGTGCGCACATCACGTGCCTGTAACACAAGAATGCCACGAGTGAGTTAGTGTGCAACAAAAGCTCCCAGTAGAGAAAACAAAAAAGGGGCTTATCGTTCATCTGGAAGTCGAGAGGTCAGATGAAATTTCTGCTGCAGCGTGGCAAATGGTGAATCTATTCACAAACCTGTGTCTGCAGGCTGAAAAAGATCACACTCCTGGTTGTCGGATGCAGCATTCAAACTCATCTTTCTGTCATCGGTATCCGCCAACTCTTTGTAAGAGCTGAACACAGTTGCTTCTATGATAAAGAGCATCCGCTGCTGCAGCAATTCCCACTTCAAGCAGCACGGGTCTTCTCAAAGCCAACCTCCTCCTTCTCCACCTCCCTTCCTGAACGGATCTAAAGAAATCAAACTCCAGGCCCAGACTCCTGTTCCACTCCAAACATAAGCAAGCATGCTGTGATATTACAGGAACAACAATTACCAACAGCAACTATAAATGCTGGATCCTTTCGTCCTGGTGGTGTTTGGAAATTAGTCTTATAGCAAGGTGGATGGTGTCGGTTTTAGTTTCAGACTGATTCACCTTTGATGTAGTTACCATTTGTATTGCCTGGTTTTTCATGCCACAGAGATACCCTTCCTGTCTCCAGACGGTTTCAATATACATGAAGGCATGATGACAACATAGACAGGGGCCTGCCAGATGTAGTAGAGCCATGCAGAAAGCCTATGTCTGAGGTTAAGCTTTATTTTCATACTAGTTAAAGGTTGCTAGGAGTGGACAGCCCACTCAGAGTAGGAAGGCAAGAGCAATGCCTCGCCCAGCTGAAGCAATCGCTCAACGATGTTATAGTCAGCCCTCTGCAGAAGGTACCAAAGCAGGGAGAAGGAGGGGCTGGGGAGCCCCAAAAACATGGGAGGCTGTTTGAGACTGCAGACAAGAATCTGCATGCATCTTGGTCCTGGGAGAAGGCAAGGTACCAAAGTTCATACGAACTTGAGTAGCTAGAGCAGCAATACAAGACACATAGATGGGGGAGAGGAATGAGGGGCAAAAATTACTCAGAGCAGATGTTTTACAGACACCAAGCTGGGTAATGCTTTTTCAAATTTTTAACGCCATTTTGCTGCTGCCTGTAGCATGACTGGAGAACACCTACTAGTTTGCATTATCCACTTATTAATCCTGCTGATAGAACATTAGAGAACTTCAGCATTTCCCTAGGGCAGTGTTTCTCAACCTTTTTAGCCTCAAGGCATCCCACGAGAACTTTTCTGGCACCCCGGGGTGCTGACTGAGAATCTACATGCAGAAAAGTTACAGAGAGCTCCCTTGCAGCTAAAAAGGCTGAGAAACACTGATCTAGCTGGTGCTGGGGAGGGCAGCTGTATGTGAAGGGGCAAGGGTGCTCCCTGTGGCTCAGGCTGCTCCCCTGGGCTTGCGCATGCCAGCAGCTGGAGCCTCCCGCTGGCCCTGGGAGCGTGGGAGAAGCTGCGGGGGGCAGCTGGCTGAAAAACCTGGCTCTGTCCACGCATTCATCCCCCTGCCTGCCTACAGCACAGCACGCTGCTCAGTGTGGAGGCGGGCAGCACAGGGTGGGGGAAGGCAGCCAGGGATGCCGTGGACCTAAAAGATGCTGGCGTGGGCATGGTGAACCAGACAGGGGCACCCCTCAAGGGATCTTGTGGCACCCTGTTCAAGAATCACTGCCCTAGGGATTGGACTAGTTTTGCAGGAAAAACAAAAAAAAAAAAAAATATCCACCCTTTTAATTTCATTCATCCTACACATCTTCCTTACCTTAAAAATTCTTCTTTCCCTTGTGGGCTCTCTCATGTTTTAGCGTAGAATTGTATGGAATGTAATTTGCCTCTCAAATAAAGCTTCCTATATAAAATTACTTTCATGAAATTTCCAAAGAGCAAGAAACAGATCGTAACCACATGCTCAGCTTGTGTGCTGAAGCTGAAACACGCAAGATTGACACCAGACAGCAGCATGACGTTCCCATCAACAGGAAGCAGTCCTTCATTACAAAAAACTATGCCAGACCTAAAACACATCTGAGCAGCCTCACACGAAGCTTACGCTTTGTCCTTTTGTAGGCAGGTCTAATCCGGTACCTGCCAGAGCCTGAAAAGCACAGTCAATGTGGGGCAGATGTGCGAGTTAAGAACAAGCTGAAAACGAATTAATGTTTCAAGACACAGAGTGCAGGAAAGAGAAGGGGTGAAGAGCCTGGAGGGATGGGTTCTCCACCATGGGAATTCATGGCCCCACGAGCCATGCTGCTTGCAAGTTGTCCTGGTAGAGGCATTTGGTCCTCATGTGATTTCTGACTTGGATCAAATGCAAGTTTACAGAGATGCCGATATGCTGAATGCTTCTCTCCCTTTGCTGTTTTGGAGCAGGCTCCACACTACCGCTTTCAGGTAACAACCAGGTGCCGGTCTGGGGAGCCGCCAGTTATCCCCTATATTCATGCAAGTCCTACTAATACGTAACAAGGTTCAAAACCTTTGGGCACTATTTCAGGAGGAGGATGGAGAGGGGAAGTCAAAAGATATATTGACTTCCAGTTTTACCCTAAGTGAACTTGATGACATGAAGTAAATGCCACAGGTAAGCACTGCTTAATTATAAAACATTTGCTCACCCAGATCTGTTCCCAGACAGTGGCAGCTCACATTTTTAAGCAAGGAACAAAATTAAGAAGCTTTTCCTAATTAGTTCATCTGTACTGCATTAAATTTGTGCTGGAAGGTTCCCAACATGGTCTGCCGCAATTATTAACGATGAATAGGCAGCTCATAAAATACTGACACAAATAGCTCTCTGAAAGAAAACTGACAGGTTTGGCCACACCTCCTATAATTATAAATGAGAGGAGGTTTGCAAAAGAAAGTGGCTTTTTAATGAAGGTCTCACGATAAGCTCTCAGGTTAACATACAGTAAGTTGCAAATGACGTAGGTAGCAGTAAGAAACTAAAAAAATGGCCCACCTCTCAGCTGAGCTACGTAAGCAAAAAGCAGGCTGGGAAAAATCCCGATGCCCAGAAGCTCCGGTCAAGTTGAGGTGTTACACGAGGAAGAACAGCCTGCTGGGCAAGGGCAGCGAGGGAGCTCAGGGCAGACTGAGGGCACACATTTTGGGAGGCCAGACACAAAGAACGGTTGCAAAACAGCTAAGGGGAGGAAAAGAAATGAGCCGCCCTTAGAGACAAAGGAGGAGAAGGAAACATACGCCGAGCAGAACTGCGCCGTCAGTCAGAAGAAAGGGTGGACGGACAAGATGGGGAGCCAGGCACGGAGGGCAGGAGAAGTATAGGCCTAGGTAAATGTGGCCAGGCGAGATCGGAGAGGAGGGCACTGCTAAACAGACACCAGGCATGCCTTGCAAGTGCCGTGACTGGTATGTGGTGCTCAGCTTTGAGAAATAATGGTAGTTTCCCTTTCCAGAAAGATAAGCAGCAGTTTAACTTGCTAATTACAGCAGTGCAGCGTACACAGTAAAACCACCTAACCTGCCATTATTCACTGCTGCAACACACTTGGATTTAGGATGGAAACGGCTTCTTCTCCAGTGTACGGTCCTGCAGGGACCTGATTTTCCCTCTTACATATGGTTAGCAGTTGGAGTGCACACAGGGATCCCAGCGACCGATGGAAGCCCCTTTGCACTAGGGCTGTACAAATGCTTTGACAACCACACCTGCCCCAAAAGGTCTAAAAAGCTCATTTATGTTCCTCTATGCAAACTAGAAGAGGCAATGGGTGGAATTCATTAATAGCCAGCTCGTAGGCTCAAGCCAAGCAGGTACTTACAAAATAAACTGCTCCAAAGCTTCCATGACCAATCTCTCGGAGATCTGTAAAGAGCTTCTCAGGATCTTCTTTGAAGAACAGCTCTGCAATTTCTGGGTCCTTCAGGCTGCCCGCTCGGCTGGTTGATGGCATCCTGCCGGGCAGTTAGCCGACTATCTGGGTTTAAAGTGCTGCTTCAACCCCTGGCTCATCTGTATGAATGGGGCCTCTTCAGCATGGATTACTGTGGGGAAAACAGAACACCTCATCATTGACTACGACCCTCCAAAGCCCATGCAAAGCCACAGAGGAGCAGACTGCCACCTCAACCTGGACACCACGCTACTGAGCAATGCAAATAGTAACCTAGGAGCTCTTCAACCAGAGGATCCCAACTGGTACCCACGTCAGAAGTGTGCATTTCAATGGAAGGCAAAACCAAACCATGCAAGTCACGTACCCCAACCCACTCCATCATGTGCCTAGCTACTTGGGGTTGACTGAGGAAGGAGGGGAGATCATCGTTAAGTTGTATGCCCCTCAACGATCTCTTGCACTTCTTCATGCTATTGGGGGGCTACGGAGGAAACAGGAGTTTGTATGGATTCTAAATTTACTACCTTATCATTTCATTCAGTGTTTCCTTCTGTTATTACATCACAGGCTAAATACGAGGCGCTGATCATTTTTTACTAGTGTTTAATCCTGCCATAGACACCTTTAAGCCTTCACTGGTCAAGGTCAAGTAGGCCCCCCATCCTTTCCAGTGTCCTCTTCCACACGTAGATCAAGCCTCCCATCTTGGAAGGCAGCAAGATGAGGAAGCAACCACATTTCAGATGGTGACTAAACCAACTGCCTTTTACATGCATGCATTATTTTCAAATCAGCACAAGCCTCTAGTTTGCTAGAATTGCTGTAGTACATTATGGAGCCATCTTCATTAAAGCATCTGCAACAGCCTCCCTCAGAGGAACCCCAAGGTCAGAAACCATTAGCAGGTGTGAAATATTTCAATTCTATTAAACATGCATTACCTTCCCTTTACCCAAAGCTCATCAGGCCCATGTCTCCTCTAGAGGAAAAAAGCTGCTTTTCTGACATGTGACAATCCTACTGTTGGCAGGAGTGCCAAAGCTATAAGGTGTCAGCTAGTCAAGGTAAATGAGGGGAGCCTAGGCATGACTGCAATCAGGTAGCACATGTTACACAGTCTTATCCAGAGAACAAGCCCACAGCAATGGGAATTTCTCAAGGAAACTGCCCCCACCAATCTTGTGCGACTGGCAAACAGCTAACACAGCTCACTTCCTTCTCCAGCCCTTCCTGCCCAGGCTGGGAATGACGTGTTCTTCCACCCCTACATTCCTTCTCTCGAACCTACAGAAAGGTTTGAATTTCGCAGCAAGACAAGGACCACAAATCAGAGCTGAACTGTCATGTTTAAAAATCTCTTAAGCCTGCCCACTTCTTTCCCTGGTCTCTCCAACCCCCCTCCACCCGTTTGCTCCAAATCTCCTGACCTCACTGGTTTTCTCCTCCCTCTGTGGAGCAGTTTGTACAGAAAGGATAGGAACAATTGTGCTCCTTGGTGTGCCTGTGCACAGTGGCACTTCCCTCTACGCAGCTGCCACATGTGAATCGGACAAAGGCTGCTTGATCCCTGCTATAGCTTCAAGTAACTGCCAGCACCGTTAAAAGGAAAAGCTCTATTGTGCGCCAGCACGGCCAACACAAACCCAGTTGTGAACTCTGCACCACCATCCAACTTGCCTGCCTGAAGGGTGGTTGGGAGAGAGAAGAGTGAAGCAAACCAAGCACTTCCAAAACCTGCCTCCAAATGGCTAGGGGTGCCAAAATGTGCACTCTCACCCAAACAATGTTCCAGTGACAGCACCTAACGAACAATGAAATACACTCAAATACTGCAATAACAGGAGTGGGGATACGAAATTAGAGAGAACTGTGAACGATGCACGAACAAAGATTTTTTAACCATTCACGATGATGTGTGTATGTGGGCACCATTTAAAATAGTACGATTATCAGATTAATTTTCTTTAGCAAATAATACGCAATAATAATAATAAAATGCAAATCTGCGAAGCCAAGCGAGTCAGCTGGTGTCAAAAGATGCACTGGACTGTCACATCTACATCTTATTTCTTATAAAAATGGAGGGTTCATAGCAATAAACACGACATCTGAACCAGCTGCAATTCAGTCAACACCTGAAATGCGCTTAATTTATAAAGAGCGTAGAAGAGGAAAAAAGGGTTAGCAATATTATAGTTGATCCCAGCCCTGGAAAGAACGTAAAACCAAAAGACAACTGTATCACACTGACAACCCAGAGCTGAACAATAGACAAAAAGCATCAGTCAGAAAAGCAAGAGAAAGGAGGGGGAAGGGAGCCGATAACCACAGCACATTCAGTATTATTGAAGGAATGCTTCTTGGATCAACGGTAATGATGTCATGTTCCATCTTTTAAGAAGCATCAGATTCTTACAAAAAGGACATTGTTGTTCAAAAGCAACTGCTGCAATCCCACAATGCCCTTTTCCCTACATCTGTTAATCGGACGGACTAGGCTTGGACAAACCTGCCAATATGGCCCAAAGTCACGTGTCCTCTTGAGTGTGTGTTCATGCATGGGAGAGTGAGCGAGAACCCCCCCCCTCCTCCCCCCCCCGGCTGAGATGGATTACGGGGCATCCCCCATCCGAATTAGCCATTAGGCTCATTCTTGGCATGATCTTGGAGCATGCCTGCAAAATGCCATCAACAGATGAGGCTTTTTACCAGCACACGCTCCAACTGTGCTAAGTGACGAGTATGCGGAAGTGGTGCAAACCAAGCGCTCTGTCTTACTTCACTTTGTGAAAGGCAAGTCACAGCGGAAGCAGGAAAACTGAAGCACTTTTTCTCTGCTATGACAGACCTTACAAAGAACATTTCCTCTTGTTCCCAGAGAGTTGCAGCAAATTCTTTTATCCCAATTCTGGACACACTTGCTACACTGAGACGTGCGTGAGCAAGCAAGTATTACCATTAAAAACTCAATTAAGTGAAAGTTACACATGTATGCATAATTCTGCATCTAGCTTTGTACTCATTTAAGCTGAACAAGCATTGCAAAAACATACTACAGTGAATGCCACCCATTAGAAACCTTTCCAACAGCTTGCTATCATTTGCTTTATGGTATAACAACATTTTTTCTACATTAAAATAAAAAGTGCTTTAGCATTACTTTTCCCAAATCATTGTCTGACAACATGAGCACATCACAAACATGCATACCCCTGCTCGCCCCCCCTCCCTAAGATCCAGGGAATGACGATTAAATTATTTTGCCTCCCTTCTGCAAACAAAGATGCTCTGATTTTGGGGTGGTGGGAAGAAGGAAGAGAGGTGGGGAGGGTAGAAGTGTCCATGCATCACTGCTGATGCTGTAATAATACTGCTAGGCCCCGAAACGTGAGAGCCCAGCTAAACTGGACTGAAACCTGAAGGGATCAGTTCTTAAGGCAGGGGCGCGCAATTATTTTGGGTGGAGGGCCGCTTACTGAGTTTTGGCAAGCCATTGAGGGCTGCATGATAGGCAGCCAGGGACAGATAAACATTAATTTTCTAAATTTTTTTAGGGGCCCCGTGGGCTGGATGGAATGGCCTGGCAGGCTGCATCCGGCCCCCGGGCCGCATTTTGCCCACCCCTGTCTTAAGGAGTTTCAGCAGTTTCCATGTTGTTACTGCCTCACATTTCACAGAGTCACAAAAACCTCCCCAAATGTTGCAGGACTAGAGCCATTTTGTTGCTAATTCCAATGCCTGGGACTATGCCATGCCCTTCACCCCCTGTGCAATCCCAGGCCCCAGCTCTTTCCTCTTCTGTAGGAGGGTGAAGAGATGCACATCCAGTTCACTTTTACCCCCTGCAATGCATCTGCACCGAGGCCATGCACTAGGGCAGCTACACTGGTACCCAAAGCACCCCCTGCCCACTTTGCCCTTGGGGTTTCATAGATAGTTTCATAGATTTAGGGTCGGAAGGGACCTAGTAGATCTTCTAGCCCGACCCCCCGCCAGGGCGGGAGAACAACAAAACCCCAATACAAGAAACGGGACTCAAATGAGTTACATTCACATGCAAGGTAAAATATTTTAAAATATGAAGAATGACTAACAGAGTTTAACTGGACAATTCAGTCACTGAGGAGGTCCCAACATTTGAAAAAAGAAAAAAAAAAGATTCAAAGTAAAACAGAAAATGGCCAGCCTACTCTTAAGATCTGCCCAAGTCTATCTACACACACACACAAAAGCATGAATGGTATTTATTTGACTGGGTAACTCTTACTGATACTGATTACAGGCCAAAATGTTTTATCAAATTAATTTAATCTGAACAACTATCAATTAGGAGAGATTGCACGCATGCACCCGTGAAAGTCCATGTGAACATGAGATTTTATGCTGCCTGTAATCATTACATGCACACACCCCTCCGAAGCACTGACATCATGAAGCTGCAAAATGAGAAAGGGGGAAAGTACTAGTCTGCAAGACCTGTTCTCTGCGGGGTTTCCTGCCTCCATCCTTGCTGAAGTGAGACCCCACCCTGTGACTAAGATCCACTGGGATACTGAAGAAAGCTCTGTAGAGTCAACTGCTATATGTCAGTGTAAGTTTAAGCCCTACCGTACAGAGGACTGGCAGCTAACTTAAAGGACAAGCTTGGCAAGTCTGCTAATATCCAGCTGTAACTCCTGTATACAGCGTGTTTCACTAACACCACTATAAAATGCACACAACTCAGGTCACCATTTGTATTATGTTCATGTAATAAGCAGACATCTTGAGGACAGAATGGGTTTAGTCGTCACTGAGGCAGGCTACTAACTGTGATTTCTATATATCAACGGGGATCACCTCCGAGAATCGCACCAAGACCAAAGCCAGTGAGAAGCAAAGACGACCAGGATCGATCAGACGGTGCCAAACATTATTGCATCTAAGGAACCTCAGGTCCTTCGCTACTCAAAAGGCTAAACTGCAGCTCTAAGGTCAGTGCACAGGCTTGTTTGAAATCAGACTATTAAATGGCAGTGTATTTTTTCCATACACAGCAAAGTACAGATAAAGTTCACGTCCGTTAACTGATGCTTGTTATGTGTTGGCTACCACAACTCGTGTGAGCAGAAGCGGAGGTAGCCAACAGATGCAGATACTGTGAAATCATTTATCACGCTGCATGGCTTTCC